GCAACATTCTTACCTAAAATTTATGTTTTTTGTTTGTTTGTTTTATGCCTACAGCACCCAGTCGTCCTAGGTGGTCTCCCATCCAAATACTGACCAGGTCCGACTCTGCTTAGATTCCAAGATCAGACAGGATTGGGCTCGTTCAGAGTGGCATGGCTGTAGGCTAAAGTTTATGTTTTTAAAAAGCATTGATTTTAATGGCTATAGTTTATTCATCTTTTTAAACCTCTATGGTATCTATTATATGAATAAAACACATTTTTATTTCTTCTCTATCTTCTTTCACACTGTTCAAAATAGGAATGAAGACATAGTTGGTAAACTTATAAAAGAAAATCAAGGGAAGGGTTAACAGCAATTTCAGGATAGTTATTTTCTCTCACAGGGAGAGAAGAAGATGCCATAGGAAAAAAGCACAAAGAATGCTGCAGTGGTTTTTATAACATTTTATTCTTAAATTGGATCATGGTTACATATTTTTTTTAATATTATTGTATATGTGTATGCATGTATGTGTTTTGTCTATTAAAATTTTTATGTACAACAGTTTGCATTTGGAAACTTTTACAAATTAAAGGCCTTTATAAGTTGGAGATCACTGTGCTAATGACTGTACTGAATTATCCTAATAAAACCACATCTAGATCAGGAGCTATGATATTAGTCACTATTTTATCAAACCTACAATTCTCTGTCATTCTGCACCCATCATACTGCAGATTTAAATGGGAATGTGGTAGAAATTTCCATCATAAATCTTTCAAAATTTTTTATAGTAGTATTAATCTCTATGAGCCTCCCCAAAGACATAAACATTTTTGTGACTCTTTTGTTGGAAGTGTGGAGATCCATGATTTTCACATAGCCCTTCTATCAAAACAGTCCCTACTAACTCCTGGGTCAGGAAACCAATGTTGAAATTCTCTCAGTTGCTGAGAACATCAATTCCAACTCCACACTCATAACAGAGGAAATAACTGCAGGGTAATTTGACATTCTGCTAAGGTAGACTTGATTCAGAGCTCCATTTATCTCCTGAAAAAGCCAGAGTTCAATAAATTAAAAATGGTCTGGATATTTTCCTTGACTAGTTTCTCCATGGTAGGAATACAGGAGTCAGATTTGTGAAAGGAACAGGAAACATGAGGGCCAGGCAGAAGTTACTATAGGGAACACCTGGCCTTTCTTTCTCTAAAGTGGCTCTGAATCAGTGAACTGACTCAACAAGGAATTAATTAAGGGCAAGGGCACCCATGGTGGCTCAGTTTAGCATCGACTTATGAGATATGATAGAATGTTGTTATATTAATCAGGAAGGAAGGACTTTTTGGTTTGGCAAAATTCTTTGCTGATTTAGCAAACCACATTGTTCTGACTCTGATAATTTTTCCCAGCTCTCATCTGGTAGTTAAGGCCCAATATTTATAATCTTTAAAACATTGTAAGAATTAAAAACTCATTTAAACTACATCAATTCCAACCAATATCCTTGGCTCCTTATGGTGTCCTTTCTAAATTCCTATTGACTTGGTAAAGGGAATAAATAACTGGCCCTTTCAGGGGAAATGATTTGCACATGAGTGGGCAAGTCTCACATTTACAATAAACCTACTTCCATATCTCCAGTTTCCCAAGTTATTAGATTCCTTTCCTAAATCTTTATTTTGCGTAAGCCACTACTGAGTCCAAGTATCAGTCAACTAATCAGTAGGTAAACACTGTAAGGCTACTATTTGACCAGCTAGCACATTGAGTGAAAAAATTCTGAGAAGCACGTACTGAATATTTAGCCAAATCTTTAATGACATTCTTTTTTCTTTGGTCGAACTCTTTTGGAATTCATTTTCATCTGACTAAAACTAATGTGGGGAGGATGGTGGACTGTGGACTGAAGAAAGAGGAAAGATGCTTAAGGTGTGTAACTGAGGAAAACTACTTTCCTCTTTAAAGGATAGGCCTTCTGGATCTCCAAGCAAGGCAAGAACAGCCTCATCAGGCTGGGCAGAGAGATCAATTTTTCTGAAGATACTATAGGGTTAACTTAGAACATAGCCCCTCTACATACTCAGAAAACTGATAGCAGCCAAAAAAAAAGGCAGTACACAAAGAACTTTCAGCAGTGCCTATCCCAAGGATGTTTTTTGCTGCTCCCATGGAGGTTATCTGCTCCTTAACCAAGCAGTACATGTTGCTCCCACCCATCTGAGAAGGCAGCTCTTCCCTCAATGAAATAACCCCTCCCTCTGCTTGTGGGCATAAACATTTCTGCTTGCTCTTGGTCAGCAGCAGTTTTTCTCCGGTAGCTCTGGCCAGCCACTGCTGAAGCTATCCTGCCTCATTGAGTAGTAAATGGTATTTCTCATCCCTCTGGTCCTCCTGCTGGTTTTTCTGGAATATCCAAACCCAGGTGCAAGTTCCAGGCCTGGGGCTCCTGCATTACAGGGAAATTCAGTGTAGAATTTGGGATTCAGACACAGCATCATCTAAATCCTGCCACTAGTCTCTATTCCATTTCTTAGAGATCTTTTTTTTTCTTTTAATAATTCCCTAAATTTAAATGAGAGTACTAGGAAAATAAGTTTAACTGATGTTATAATTAATAATCCACATTCAAAATATGTATTTTTTTTGCTATTTCAGCCCTGTTGCCACAACAAAAGAAGACATTATTTTATCACAGTCAGAGAAAGTCCCTAGACTTTACTATTTTCTTTATTTGAAAATCTGCAGATTTCAGATTCTCAGGCACTCCCTGTAGATTGTTACTTGCATTAGAAATTACCATCCCCTTTCCAATGAACTTTCATGGCCCCATCTACAAAGAAAATCAAATGGAAAGCAAAAGGAGGTCTAGAGTGAAAAAACCTCTTGGACTCCCTAATATTGATAAAATGTTTTCCCTAACTTTCCAAGGCCAAAGATCCACATCGTAATTTAGAGCTAAAGCCTCAGTTTGTAATCAAGTATTCCTTTGCCTCGTATTATTCTATGTAAATATATTTTCCCACCAGGGATGTCACAGAACTGGCAAGCCTACTGTGACAGAAAAAAATAGATATGTGGAGTCTTAAGTTCCTTCTATCTCTCTTTCTGCATGTAGAATTATCTCTTAGCAAAACTCTAAATCTGACTTAAATTCAGTATCATGAAGAAGTATAGAAAAACTAGGAAATTATGTCCATATAATAGGGAAATGTACTAATAAATACAAACCGAAATAGTTGATGCTGACTTTATATGATTCATTAAGTGAAGAGTGGCTCATTCGAAAAAATAGACCCAGTGCAATGTTGTGACTCACAATACATTACTTAAAAATTGCACACCAACAATAGTTCAAGTAAATACTTAAATAATTAAAACATATTACAAGACGAAAAGTATTTTATTAAATATTTATTAATCTATAATTTGCCTGGCACTATTTCAGAACTATAGTTTCCTCTATTCTCATAGTTAGATGATTCCATAGCATATGTCTATAAACTCGTATGAAATTTTATCCACTACCTAAGCAGTATGACCTTTCACTTTTGGAAAAGTCTTTATTCTCTTTAGAACCTAGTTTTTTCAAGTGTAAAATGGGGATGTACTCTAATTCATTTCCCTAAAGGGCATTCCATCTCTAATCTAAGTGTGTTTGACTTTTAAGAATTGCCAACTTTGTCATACTAATGTAGGAGGAGGCAAGAGAATTAAAAATGTTCAATCAAGCTACATTCAGAGATTGCAATATGCTGATCGTCCTGCAGCCAGGCCAGGAGGACATCTGTAGAAAAAAGGAAGATTTCTACTGGGATTGTTAACAACCCATTTTCCCATACTTATGAAGGGGAAACAAGAAAAACAAGAGTCTTTAAATGGCTACTCCCCACAAAATAAAATCATTCATTCCCTATGGCTAAAACCATGGGGGAACCTATGGATTAAAGACTGGGAACTGCCAGCAGGCCTTTCACTCTACATATTCTTACCCTTTCATGCCTACATACTCTTGCTCTTCCCCTTCCTCACTGTATGTACATATCAAAGGAAATCGGTTAACAAAGTCTTTTAACTATAACTCACAGGAACTAAAGAATGATATATAAACTGAATTCTCCTAACACTCAGGATCCCTCTCACTGTCTCTGTCACTGTCTTTCTCTTGGTACTCTTTATTCTCTCTCTCACTGTCCTTGTCTCTTAGTCCATCTCACTCCCTACCTCTGAGAGGAGACCACACTCTTGGCTGTGGAGTGTTACACTTTTCTAATAAACTTTCCTTTTGACTCTAACTTTGGCATGTGTGTTGAATTCTTTCTACACTCTCTGCCAAAGGACTCTCTTCTTCTCTGGGTGCAGGGCTTGGTCTCCCCTCCAACTCGGGGAAATTTGTCCTGTCCTGCATCAATACTCCATCTAGCTTAGTCTCCTATTTGCATATTTAATAATCTAGACAGTCTAGCTTGAATTAGTGTTGCCTATCCTAAGGCAATGTTCTAGTAATTTACTCTTTCAATATCACTTAAAAATGTACTTTAAAAGTAATTAACATATAGTATTCATGTAAAATCATTGGCTTTAAAGTTCTTTCAAATTTTATCCCTATACCTTTATGGTATAAACAGATTAGGCAACATTATCATCAATTTATAGATAAAACTCAAGGAAATGAAAGGAATGATTCTTTCTAACTCCTGATCAAGTATATGCTCTTAGCAGGATCCTATGCTACAGGGACACCAATAAGCAACTAAGTAAACTTCTTGGAATAGTTGTTTTGCTGTTAACAAAACCCACTGCAACTTATTTCCATGCAAGTTAATTGCCCCTGAAAGGTGAAGCAGAAATGACATTAGCCTCCTGCCCCTTCCCCATGGGAACAATAGGAAGGAAGAAGCTGCTTGCCAGAAAACAAAACCCTAAAGGTCCAAGTCTAGGGACATTGCTGTCAACACTTTCTAAAAGGCTAAAAAAAAAAGGAGGGATGAGCCAGAGAAGTGTACAGAAAGAGCGCAATGACAAAATCAAGGAGTATGTCAGAAGAGAAGACCAGGGAACTTGTTAAATTCAAAAAGGGACTTCCACAGGAAACAGCAAAGACCACAAAGAAGTTAAGGCAACCAGCAGACCATGGCCTCATTGGCAGATTCACATCCAGGTAGTGGCCACCAGCAGAGAAAACTCCAGAAGGGAGGTAGAGGTGTAGTAATGGAAATTCTCCTGAGATATATATTTATTGAAAGTATGTTAGAGACATTGGAAACAGAGAAGACAGTCAAGATCTCCTAATCGCATTATGCTTTACAAATAAGTTGGAGGGGAAGAAGAGTACCTTTGTAGTCTGCCCACCAAAGGAAAATTTACCTCTCAGGGTTTTATGACTCAGATGAGTTAAAGGGTCTACCTTAAGCCTAGTTCAGTTCACACGGGGTTTGAAAAGGCCAGATAAAGCTAGTATATCAGTAGTACTAAAGTCCTTTCCCCCAAAACTCTTGTGAAAACTGCTTCTTTTCTTATTACACAGATGAATATGTGATATGTTGATAATATAATGTGGTACTGACTAAATGGCATAAAGCATGTAACTGGAGCAGTTTTAGTTCTTAATGGGTAAACCAGGGGTATTTTTCTACCTTCCCAGGGAAAAGAAATGATTATTTGTGTGCAGAGAGAATAATAAATTATACAAATGAATGGTGATTTAGATATCAAGGCAGTTGGGAGACAAGAGAAAAAATATATAGTACAGAAAAAATTGGGGCTAGAAAGATGATTTTCTGTGTGTAAAAACAAAAATTTAAATGTGAATTGATATGGTTGCCCAAAAGGTTAATATTTCTTTTTTAGTAAGAATCTACACCAAAGCCTCCTCTTTCTTTCTTTCTTTCTTTCTTTCTTTCTTTCTTTCTTTCTTTCTTTCTTTCTTTCTTTCTTTCTTTCTTTCTTTCTTTCTTTCTTTCTTTCTTTCTTTCTTTCTTTCTTTC